AATGTATGAACATTAGGGTAATCCCAAAATGGAAGATCTAATATATTTCTCAAATTTTTTGTCCTAATGTCAATATTTGGTGAACTGGATAAAAAGGTCCTTTATAGATTACTTTTTGGAAAATCTGGTATCATACACTAGAACACACTAGAACAAAAATTTTGAGAAATCATATCTTTAATTTTCAGTGGGAAAATCAGTACCATATTTTTTCACCAAACGGAGCCACCCTAATGTACATATTTTAAATATACAAACAAATATTAAACAAAACAAGTGGTGGCCACATTAAAAAAGAGCAAAATATACAAAATACACTGACTAACCAACAAAACTCCAAAAAAAAAATCCCATATGAAATTGCATAAATAGTAGAGGCTTAACCACACATTGCCCATTCGCCATCTCCACCACTCGCCAAATGACCAACAAAGTTTGGCCAAAAAGAAAAAAAAAAATTGCTAGACTGTCAGTCAAACAAATGCAACAAACTTTTGACTAATTAATAACAAAACCAAATTAATTTGGTAAAAGAAAAAATTATATAAAATAAACAGCAACAACTACAGCTGCAATATGCTCTGGTATTCATAATACTTTCAACTAATTAACAAAATGTAAACATAATATGGTATGGACGCTTGCAATAGAAATTAAACTTTTTTTGCAGGGGAGAGGAGCTTTTTTGTACACCTTGCCTAGCCATGAAAACCAAATGGTCTGAATTAAGTGAAAGGCACAAAGAGAAGAAGATTGCCGTATATGTACATTGTACATAGATATTTCTTTTTAATGATGATTTTTATTGTGGAATGTTTTATTTTATAAAGTAAATGTTGTACTATGTATTAGGTCTTTTAGCCCTTAAACTTTCCCGTCCCTCAAGGGCTTTTGTCTAGAACCTATATTTTGATGTATTAGAAATGAAATGACTATCCATCTCTTTATTCCCTACACCACTATAGTGGGGAGGGTATTATGCTTTTGTGATAATATTTGAACGGCACAAAAATATTGGTCATTTTCTGAGACGATTAAGACATGTCCGTTCGTCCGTCCGTCTTTCCGGCTGGCTGACTGGCTGTCCATGTAAACCTTGGTCGCAAGCTACAGGCGGCAATTTTCAAGATATTTTGATAAAACTTGGACTACACAAGTTTTTCGGCACAAGGACGATGCTTATTGTTGAGATCGGTCCCTTATTTCACCTAGCCCCCATACAACCAGATCACCCGATTTGGGGCTTTTAACTCATAACTACGTCAAATATACTACTAACTCTCCAAGGTACAGCGAAATAGCTCAGGGGGTTTTAACTCTGGTGTATTTCACACATTAAGCCTTTTCTTGATAAATGGACTTTTGTATTCCATGGAACTTATGTCATTATGCTATGGACCACTTTTAACCAGTGCTATATGGAGTTTGTAATACAATTTCAAAGTTTCATAATGTTCGTATTCATAATGTCATAAAAATACATTGGTGTGCAAAGAAAGCTAAATAGCGAAGGCCGGTGTTCGAAATATCGCAGAGTAAGTATAAAAACTCTTCGCCCGGCCGAAGGCCGGCTGCCCGGACATTTTTTGAGGCAACTAAAATGCATAAGCCACCAAAGTTGAAAAAATTCTGGGAACTACTTCCCAAACTAGAATGAAATAATCCCAACAAGAATGAAAAAACTCCAATTTGAACAAATTTGCTTAAATGATTTACTCCATATATACGAATAACTTAATTAGTTAAAGTCTAGTAATAGTTAGTTAGTTAGTTAGTAAGTTAGTTAGTTAAGTTAGTTTGTAGTTAGTTAGTTAGTTAGTTAGTTAGTTAGTGTTAGTTTTAGTTAGTTAGTTCGTTAGTTAGTTAGTTCGTTCGTTAGTTAGTTCGTTCGTTAGTTTTCGTTGTTCGTTAGTTAGTTAGTTTTTAGTTAGTTCTTTAGTTCGTTCGTTTTTAGTTAGTTTTAGTTCGTTAGTTAGTCGTTCGTTAGTTCGTTAGTTAGTTTGTAGTTAGTTAGTTAGTTAGTTTGTTAGTTAGTTAGTTAGTTTCGTTAGTTAGTTCGTTCTTAGTTCGTTAGTTAGTTCGTAGTTAGTTTCGTTCGTTCGTTAGTTAGTTTTCGTTCGTTCGTTCGTTCTTTCGTTGTTCGTTCGTCGTTCGTTCGTTAGTTCGTTAGTTGTTCGTTAGTTAGTTCGTTAGTTTCGTTCGTTAGTTCGTTCGTTCGTTCGTTAGTTCGTTTCGTTCGTCGTTCGTTAGTTAGTTCGTTCGTTCGTTCGTTCGTTCGTTCAGTTTCTCGTTTTTGTTCGTTTGTTCGTTCGTTCGTTCGTTCTTCGTTCGTTCGTTCGTTCGTTCGTTCGTTCGTTCGTTTCGTTCGTTCGTTTCGTTCGTTCGTTCGTTCGTTTCGTTCGTTCGTTCGTTCGTTCGTTCGTTCGTTCGTTCTCGTTCGTTCGTTCGTTCGTTCGTTCGTTCGTTCGTTCGTTCGTTTTCGTTAGTTCGTTACGTTTCGTTCGTTCGTTCGTTGTTCGTTCGTTCGTTCGTTCGTTCGTTCGTTCGTTCGTTCGTTCGTTCGTTCGTTCGTTCGTTCGTTCGTTCGTTAGTTCGTTAGTTCGTTGTTCGTTCGTTCGTTCGTTCGTTCGTTCGTTCGTTTCGGTTCGTTCGTTCAGTTCGTTCGTTTCGTTGTTCGTTTAGTTCTTCGTTCGTTCGTTTTCGTTCGTTCGTTCGTTACGTTCAGTTCGTTCGTTGTTCGTTCGTTTCGTTCGTTCGTTCGTTCGTTCGTTCGTTCGTTCGTTCGTTCGTTCGTTCGTTCGTTCGTTCGTTTCGTTCGTTCGTTCGTTCGTTCGTTCTTCGTTCGGTCGTTAGTTCGTTGTCTTCGTTAGTTAGTTTCGTTCGTTCGTTCGTTCGTTTCGTTCGGTGTTGCCGTTCTTCAGTTCGTTCGTTCGTTTCGTTCTTGGTCGTTCGTTCGTTCGTTCGTTCGTTCGTTCGTTCGTTCTTCGTTCGTTCGTTCGTTCGTTCGTTCGTTTCGTTCGTTCGTTCGTTCGTTCGTTCGTTCGTTCGTTCGTTCTTCGTTCGTTCGTTCGTTCGTTCGTTGTTCGTTTCGTTTCGTTCGTTCGTTCGTTCGTTCGTTCGTTCGTTCGTTCGTTCGTTCGTTCGTTCGTTCGTTCGTTCGTTCGTTCGTTCGTTCGTTCGTTCGTTCGTTCGTTCGTTCGTTCGTCGTTCGTTCGTTCGTTCGTTCGTTCGTTCGTTCGTTCGTTCGTTCGTTCGTTCGTTCGTTTCGTTCGTTCGTTCGTTCGTTCGTTCGTTCGTTCGTTCGTTCGTTCGTTCGTTCGTTCGTTCTTTCGTTCGTTCGTTCGTTCGTTCGTTCGTTCGTTCGTTAGTTCGTTCGTTCGTTCGTTCGTTCGTTCGTTCGTTCGTTCGTTCGTTCGTCGTTCGTTCTTCGTTCGTCGTTCGTTCGTTCGTTCGTTTCGTTCGTTCGTTCGTTTCGTTTCTTCGTTCGTTCGTTCGTTCGTTCGTTCGTTCGTTTCGTTCGTTCGTTCGTTCGTTCGTTCGTTCGTTCGTTCGTTCGTTCGTTCGTTCGTTCGTTCGTTCGTTCGTTCGTTCTTCGTTCGTTCGTTCGTTCGTTTCGTTCGTTCGTTCGTTCGTCGTTCGTTCGTTCGTTTTCGTTCGTTCGTTTTTCGTTCGTTCGTTTCGTTCGTTCTTCGTTCGTTCGTTCGTTCGTTTCGTTCGTTTCGTTTCGTTCGTTCGTTCGTTCTTCGTTCGTTCGTTCGTTCGTTCGTTCTTCGTTCGTTCGTTCGTTTCGTTCGTTCGTTCGTTCGTTCGTTCGTTCGTTCGTTCGTTCGTTCGTTTCTTCGTTCGTTCGTTCGTCGTTCGTTCGTTCGTTCGTTCGTTGTCGTCGTTTCGTTCGTTCGTTCGTTCTTTTTCGTTCGTTCGTTCGTTCGTTGTTCGTTCGTTCGTTCGTTCTTCGTTCGTTCGTTCGTTCGTTCTTCGTTCGTTCGTCGTTCGTTCGTTCGTTCGTTCGTTCGTTCGTTCGTTCGTGTTCGTTTTCGTTCGTTTCGTTCGTTCGTTCGTTCGTTCGTTCGTTCGTTCGTTCGTTCGTTCGTTCGTTCGTTCGTTCGTCTTCGTTTCGTTCGTTCGTTCGTTCGTTCGTTTCGTTTCGTTCGTTCGTTGTTCGTTCGTTCGTTCGTTCGTTCGTTCGTTCGTTTCGTTCGTTCGTTCGTTCGTTCGTTTGTTCGTTCGTTTTCGTTCGTTCGTTCGTTCGTTCGTTCGTTCGTTCGTTCGTTCGTTCGTTCGTTCGTTCGTTCGTTCGTTCGTTCGTTTCGTTCGTTCGTTCGTTCGTTTCGTTCGTTCGTTCGTTCGTTCTTCGTTCGTTCGTTTCGTTCGTTCGTTTCGTTCGTTCGTTCGTTTCGTTCGTTTCGTTTTCTTTTCGTTCGTTCGTTCGTTTCGTTCGTTCTTCGTTCGTTCGTTTCGTTCGTTGTTCGTTCGTTGTTCGTTCGTTTCGTTTTCGTTCTTTCTTTCGTTTCGTTCGTTCGTTCGTTCGTTCGTTCGTTTTCGTTCGTTCGTTCGTTCGTTGTTCGTTCGTTCGTTCGTTCGTTCGTTCTTCGTTCGTTCTTCGTTCGTTCGTTCGTCTTCGTTGTTCGTTCGTTCGTTCGTTCGTTCGTCGTTTCTTTGTTCGTTCGTTCGTTCGTTCGTTCGTTCGTTTTCGTTTTCGTTCGTTCGTTTCGTTCGTTGTTCGTTCGTTTTCGTTCGTTCGTTCGTTCTTTCTCGTTCGTTCGTTCGTTCGTTAGTTTGTTTGTCGTTCTTCTTTCGTTTTCTTGTTTCGTTCGTTCGTTTGTTGTTCGTTGTGTTTGTTGTTTGTTGTTTGTTTGTTTGTTGTTTGTTGTTGGCTCGTTTGTTTCTTAGTTGGTTCCTTAGTTGGTGGTTTGGTTCGTTGGTTGGTTCGTTGGTTGCCCAGATTCATAATGCATTCATTTTGTTATAAAAAATTTAATTATTTATACTGTATCACTCACATGTTTCATTAGACACTTATAACGCTTTTCGACCTGAGGCGTGAATTTTCTCCTCGATTCTGCAAGTCTAGCATTATAGTCCTTTAAAATCGAAGCTTTTTGAACTTCAGGATCAACTGGTAAAAAACCTTCCAAATATTTGAATTTTCTATAAATAAAGAATTAAAAATACAATAATGTAATTATCCTAATTAGAATGTATAATGAAAAACCTACTCCTTTTCCATACGTTTCAAATGCAGCAGAAATTCTTCATTTGTTGCAAAGTCTTTGCGACTAATTATAAGATGTTTTAAAATAACCCACGCTTTTAAGCCTGAAATATTTGAATAGGTTAAAGTTGAAAATTCGATTGAAATACGTTTTTGTTTAGCAACTCAATGAGGGTATTCATTTAAACGCATTTATTTACCACTTATCAAGAAGGCAAGACTATTTTGGACAGTTCATATGCGAGACAATTCAAACATTTACATGATGAGCCTTATTGTGCGAATATTTCACTTACTTTGTTTTTAACATGTTTCTGCCATCTATTACCTCCTGTTTTACTACATAGAGGTTGTTGATGTTCCCCTTTGGTGGCTTCGATTGTTGATCCTGTTGTCCTGCCTTAGCACGTTGTAAAGTTGGTGCAATTAATTCATCGATAACTTTACCCATACGTGCCAGTTCATTGCGACATTCTAAATGGTTTTATATACAATTTAAGAGTTTGGAGGGAGTTATAAAAATAATGATTTTAAATTTAAATCGTGTTCATTTCTGTTAGATGCAATTTGGAAATATTTGTAAATTTTTTTATTTCACTTACCCTCCGGAGTCCTTAAGGCATAATGATCTCCCGCCTTAAATTTTTAACCTTTCTCGGTGGTTTTAAAGCAGGTAAACGTAAACGTTTGGCCGAGGGTGTAAATATAACCACCTGCAAATAATTTATGCCATATTAATGTAATTTACATTTTACATACAAATTATATAATTATATAATATTACCAATCATATCCGTTGGACCACCATGTAATTTCTTCAATTCATTGGTAAACATGGCAGATTTAGTGCGACAATTAAAATAAAAAACACGTATTCGCCGGGTGCAATATATATCTAAAAGAGTTTGGGTTACCGCAAAAACCGACTCTTCGGTAGGCTGTTCTGTGTTGCACAAAATAAAAAAAGACAAAATGGTGAAAAAATTAATTGCAAACAATTTGTTTATTTTTTAATAATTATGTTAATTAATATATTTAAAAAAGTGCCCAGGGAAAAAAGTGAAAAACTATATACATCTATAAATGCATATAATAATATGTTTATTAATTAGGTTGTTAATTAAAAATATATGAATATCATACAAATATTAATGATATAAAGTAAAGCATAAGGTTCTGTGTGTATACATACCGTTCAAATATTTGTTTAGCCAGGGACATGGATCATCACAAACTGAAATTTCAAATAATAAATACATATTATGATATTTAATATATATTTTAATAAAATGAGGTTTTTGTTTAATTATAATTACAGTCTAGTCTTAAATTAATTGAAATAATTATTAAATTTTAATTTATATATTTTGTTTTAGATTGAAATTAAATCAAACAATAATTAAAATTATTTTTTAATTTTTTTTAATTTTTTTTTTAAATTTTTCTCTCCGTCTGTTTGTCTGTCTGTCTGTCTGTCTATCTGTCTGTTTCTTTGTTTGTTTGTCTGTCTGTCTGTCTGTCTGTCTGTCTGTCTGTCTGTCTGTCTATCTCTTTGTCTGTCTGTCTGTCTGTTTGTTTGTTTGTTTATCTGTCTGTCTGTCTGTCCGTCTGTTCGTCTGTGTGTTTATAAAAACCTTGTGTGCACTCTACAGGTCGCAATTTTCAAGATAATTTGATGAAATCTGGTACATGCTCCAAGGACGAAGCCTATTGAAATTCGTTAAAATCGGTCCATTATTTCGTATAGCCCCCCATACAACCGTAACCCTTGAATAGGGCTTTTGAGCTCATAATAATGTTAAGTGTTATTGCATCTCCACTTAAATCGTCAAGGCTTAGTTTTATATATGTATAAATGATGCTGCCGATTTACGTAATGATCGGGCCTTACTTGACCCTAGACCTCATATAAAATAACCTTTATAAAATTACTTAAAGGTCAACATTCAGTTATAAACACTAATATCACGATGAAATTCCGCATAAATTACTTTAATGTGGACACAAATCCCTCTACCAAAATTTATAAGTATAGGCCCACATTTGTCCTTGCCGCCGTATAGCAAGGAAATTCACATTTTTGACCAGAAATTGTTAAAATATTTCGGAATTAAAGCAACAACTTAAAGGGTTTATTATTTACAATAAATTACTTTTTTTATAAACTACTCCATGGTGTAGGGTATTATATGGTCGGTCATGACCGACTATACTTTCATACTTGTTGTTTTCTACTGTTAACAAGCGAATGCAACATATTCACAAGCAATCACGACGTTGTTGTTGTATTCCTCCACCAGCATTAAAAAAATTATAATTTTTGTACGACATTTTCGGAGGTTGTTTCGGGTTTTTGCTCATATCTCTGTTATTTGTGTGTGATAGAATTATTGAAGTTTTAGATTCCAAAGACATCTGGCGTCTTCAGAACATTAAATTCAATAGACAGACAGACGGATATGGCTTAATCGACTCTGCTATCTATAAGGATCCAGAATATACTTACATATATATATTATAGGGTCAGATTTTATAACAAATATAAATTTTCGGGATTTAAAAAGAAATATTGTTTTAGAAAAATATAAATTTTCTAAAACTTTCTCAAAAACAAACAAATTTTTCAGAAACTTCTACGAATAAGAACGAACTTCGAAATTTACTTATTGTTGACAAAAAAAGAGATTCTCTACAAGAGGACTCATATGGGGGTGGGGTTAAATATGGTCCTATCTTATAAGTGTTGGTAGAGGAATTTACGTCTATATCAAAGCTATTTATGTAGAATTTCATCGTGTTCTTAGTGTTTATAAGTGAATTTTGACCTTCTAGTCATTTTCTGAAGGAGAGTTTGTATGGGGCTGGGCAAAATATGGACCGATTTCAACCATTTTCAATAGCATTTGTACTTGGTTTGAAAAAAGAGTATGTGCCGAATTTCATCAAATTATCTTGAAAATTGCGACCTGTAGCGTGCACACAAGCTTTACATGGACATACGGAAAGACAGACAGACGGACGGACATAGCTAAATCGACTCAAAAAGTGATTCTGGGCCGTTTGGCATACATTATATTTGGGTGTTATAAACATCAGCACAAACGCATAATACCCTCCCCATTATGGTGGTGTAGGGTATAAAAATCTAAAATTCTTTTTACGAAGATTTTTTTCAATGAGTAATTTTGTTTAAAAACCAAAATTTCCGAAATTTTTTATAAGAGAAATTTTTAAAAACATTTTTCTTAACAGACAAATTTGCGAAAAATATTCTTTAAAAAAACAGAAAATTTTCTATAAAAAACCAATAATTTCTAACAAAATTTGAAAATTTTTCTAATTTTTTAAGGAAATTTTCTTTTAAAAGAAAACTTCAAATCTTATATCTTTTTTAAACTACTCATAAACATCAAAATACCTTTAGTATTTATTAAATATTTATATTTTTAATATGAATATGAAAACACACAATATCCTCTAAAGTAATAACTTTTATGAGACAACTTTATTTTTATGACATCTAAAGAGACCACCCAACCATTCAAGCAATAATAATCATCACCAACTCCATTTACACTCACCACTTTATGACATTCTTCTCTACTACTTCTGTCATTATTACTTCTTACTCCTTATTTTTTTTTTTTCATTTTCAATATTATTGTTTGTTTGCTTGTTTATGGGTGCATGTGAGTATGAGTTTATTCAGTTTTTTTTTATAGATTCTTATAAATATTTTACAAAAAATATAAAAAAATAATATAAAATTATCATCTTTTTATCAATAAAAATATTAAAAAAAGAAATGTTTATACGACATGCCAATATTTAAAATGACTAAAATTCGTGCTGCAAACAAAATACTACTAGAATTGGAGAAAAACCAAACACAAGATGTTGAGGGAAAAAAAAAATGAAAGAAGTTCATCGTGAGTCAGTCAACATTGTTGTCATATTGAAATGTACCAGTGTTGCATTGAGAATACTTTTGACTCAATTTTAAATAAAATTCACACACTCTATTATTTGGGAGTATTCTACTATGATAACAATAGCAACAACAAGAGAAAAATAACATCAAACGTACCAACAACAAGTAAAATAAACAACAATAACATACAACTACAAATAAACATTTTAATGGCATGTACTCCTTCGGGAAATATCAGATAAATGTTTATATGTATGTATGTTTATGTAGGAGCAGGAGAAATGTATGAACAGTGAACAGTCCTAAGTAATATAAGAGGAATTTTTTCAACATTTTCTATTAAAATGTTATTTTTTTTGAAATTTCTATTTTTATAGAAAATTTGTTTAATTTGTCCTTTTGAAGAAGAAATGCTCTCGTTTAGTAGAAAATTTCGGATATATTCTCGTTTTTACAGGAAATTTTCGAAGATTTGTATAATTTCTTTAACATTTTTCTCGTTTTAAATACAGGAAACTTTCGAACATTTTCCATTTTTATAGAAAATTTTTGAAGATTTCTCTTTTATAGAAAATTTTCGCACATTTTCTACTAACTAAAACTAACTAACTAACTAACTAACTAACTAACTAACTAACTAACTAACTAACTAACCTAACGAACTAACGAACTAACTAACTAACTAACTAAACTAAACTAACTAACGACTCAACTAACTAACTAAACTAACTAACTACACTAACTAACTAACTAACTAACTAAACTAACTAACTAACTAACTACTAACTAACTAACTAACTAACTACTAACTAACTAACTAACTAACTACTAACTAACTAACTAACTAACTAACTAACTAACTAACTAACTAACTAACTAACTAACTAACTAACTACTAACTAACTAACTAACTAACTAACTAACTAACTAACTAACTAACTAACTAACTAACTAACTAACTAACTAACTAACTAACTAACTAACTAACTAACTAACTAACTAACTAACTAACTAACTAACTAACTAACTAACTACTAACTAACTAACTAACTAACTAACTAACTAACTAACTAACTACTAACTAACTAACTAACTAACTAACTAACTAACTAACTACTAACTAACTAACTAACTAACTAACTAACTAACTAACTACTAACTAACTAACTAACTAACTAACTAACTAACTAACTAACTAACTAACTAACTAACTAACTAACTAACTAACTAACTAACTAACTAACTAACTAACTAACTAACTAACTACTAACTAACTAACTAACTAACTAACTAACTAACTAACTACTAACTAACTAACTAACTAACTAACTAACTAACTAACTACTAACTAACTAACTAACTAACTAACTAACTACTAACTAACTAACTAACTAACTAACTAACTAACTAACTAACTAACTAACTAACTAACTAACTAACTAACTAACCTACTAACTAACTAACTAACTAACTAACTAACTAACTAACTAACTAACTAACTAACTACAACTAACTAACTACTAACTAACTAACTAACTAACTAACTAACTAACTAACTAACTAACTAACTAACTACTAACTAACTAACTAAGAACTAACTAACTAACTACTAACTAACTACTAACTAACTAACTAACTAACTAACTAACTAACTAACTAACTAACTAACTAACTAACTAAACTAACTAACTAACTAACTAACTAACTAACTAACTAACTAACTAACTAACTAACTAACTAACTAACTAACACTAACTAACTAACTAACTAACTAACTAACTAACTAACTAACTAACTAACTAACTAACTAACTAACTAACTAACTAACTAACTAACTAACTAACTAACTAACTAACTAACTAACTAACTAACTAACTAACTAACTAACTAACTAACACTAACTAACTAACTAACTAACTAACTATAACTAACTAACTAACTAACTACTAACTAACTAACTAACTAACTAACTAACTAACTATACTAACTAACTTAACTAACCTAAAACTAACTAACTAACTAACTAACTAACTAACTACTAACATAACTAACTAACTAACTAACTAACTAACTAACTAACTAACTAACTAACTAACCTAACTAACTAACTAACTAACTAACTAAACTAACTAACTAACTAACTAACTAACTACTAACGAAATAACTAACTAACTAACTAACTAACTAACTACTAACTAACTAACTAACCTAACGAACTAACTAACTAACTAACTAACTAACTAACTAACTACTAACTAACTAACTAACTAACTAACTAACTAACTAATAACTAACTAACTAAC